TATATATATATATATATATATATATACACACACACACACATTCACACATTTTAGATTGCCACTTATATAGTATTATATAGTATTAACCACTTAATACTATATTTTTTTACCATTTGTACTGGAGAGACTAATATGTCTTTGAAACATAAGGTAAATCATATTATATGAAAATTATTTCACAGACTTGTGAAACTCATTATCATTTTCTTCTTGACATGAAGTGCATCATTGATAAAAAAATACTTTTTTTTCAGGCTGATGGTGGTAGACTTCCAAGGGAAAGGTCACGTCGACAGGGAGGAAATCTTACAATTTACAACTTACAGAAAGAAGATCATGGTCATTATGAATGCGTCTTAGAGAATGATATTGCCACTTTGGTCACTAGCACCATGATTCTGATTGAAAGTAAATTCCTTTTACTACATATTGTGGAAATCTATATTGTTTTTCAAATAGTTGCATTGCCTGGTTGCTAGAATAGTCACTTGCTATGGAAAAATCTTTTAGTATGTTTTAGAAAATTGCAATTGTCACTTTTAGTATTTAAGTGTACAAGCCTGATTTAATTTAAGTTTCAGAGGGTTTTGGTGACTGATATTACCACTGAAGTATCTACATCATGATATCATACTCATTACTGAAAGTAAGTAGTTTCATGTTATATGAATTTTAGAGATTGATGTTGTAACTGAAATTACTGCATTGCAGCATTATTTAAAATAATAGTGAACTAATATTGAAATTAGTTAATGGATTTGTTTCTCAAGTACTATTGCAGTACCATGAGACTTATTAAAAAATATGGTTTATGCAGTGTCAGTTTTAGACTGATATTGTCTAAAGCATGGGTGGGACTTGGTACCAAAATATGGGAAGGGGCCAAAAAAAAGTGAGGGCGACTGCTTTCCGTAATCCCATGTATGCCCAAAGGAATAATTTTGGGCATTTTATTGAAATTTATTTTCTTTACTCAAATGACTAAATTAATAAAGTTATTTTTATTCAGAATAAATTCCTATATCATTATGTTTTCCAGAATAATGCCATTATGACACTGGTTATTATTATTAACAGAACCTTTATTGCAAGTAAGAATTGATTACTATGCATATATTGATACCCAGATCATACTTAAGAATATGATATTGTGATTGTTTTGTGAAATATAAACAAAATATTGTTTTGTTTTAGTATGTTATTTCAAATCTGTCACTTATTCTGTTTTGTGCAGTTTTTACATAACATGATCAAGAGAGTCATTAAGTTTATTTCATTCTAACTGCTTTTGTTCTGCCAATGGTAGTATTTGTAATGCTACACTCTGTGCAAGAACGTAACAGCAATCAGTATCTTCATATTGTAGGTTGGGTGATATCTCAAGGTTACAACTGCTCTTATGTTGAAGGAAAATGATTATTCATGTGGGTAGCACTAGTTGTTCTGGGTGAATCGTAAGTTGCCTGCTGAGTAAAGAATGCTTGTTTTTAAGAAGTTTGGTGCATGATCTCAAAGAAAATATTCAACTTATAATTCAACTCCAGCAAAAGCAACAGTCCAGCATAAAAGCAAATACACACACTCGGTTTGTGTCTTTGATTTAATAAAGATTGTTCTTTGTTTTTATATTGAGTCCAGTCTCTTTTATTTCATTCTCATGAGCTCAGTCAGAGTTAGAGAACTCAGTATTACTTTACAAAAGACATCTTGTTAAATCTCCTTTTATTTAGCTAGTCTATCCCATTGTTCTCAAAATTATCGGTTTGATCTGGTTATACCACAGAGTGGATGGAAAGAAGAAAATTTTAGTATTATTGCCACAGGATATGTTATTGCAAAGTTTTCAGTTTTCTGCTAATCTGTGCATTGCCCTTTACTCTTGTATTATTTAAGTTAAAATGTTTTGTGTCATTGGAAATGGCATTTTCCACAACTTGGAAGACTTATGATCAAAAGAAAGAGTCAGTCACTGAAGAACGATAGTTTTATGAGAGGCTTGTCAAGTCTAGAAGAAGTTTTCACATGAGCATTCACCAATGATTTAAACATCCATAAATTCCATCTCATTATAGCTTAAGACCTAGAAAGAAAAGCCACTGTTGTCTGGTGTACCCAGAACAGTTGTTCATATTATTCCCTTGTGATTGACCTTAGTGTGGGCGAAGCACAGATTCTGTGGTGTTTAGTGAGTGTGAAATTGAGTAGAATGGTTTGTATAGGACTCCCAGAATAACTCAACCCGAGCTCTGACTGAAGCCAGCCAAGAATACCGCAGAAAGACTGCAGGTACTGTTGGTGGATGAAGCTCACTAATAGGAGCTATCTCACCAACAAGAGTGAGCAACTATAGATCCCAGAGGAGCCTATGGTTGCACAGAGCAATGGTATCTCATTGTTCTGCTATTCTGGACCAAGAATTGACTACTTTCATGAGAGTCAAAGTTCCTGAGCATGCTTATTATGCTGTACCTGCAAAATCAAAGAAATCTTGGTCAAGTGTTAACCAACAAGTTGTGAGGGATAGGTTTAGACCTTTTAGTGAGGCAAAACATGTTACTTCCTGACATTCAAGGGAGCAGAGAATGAGATTTGCACAATATTCTGAAGTATTTCTGGATAGTAACTGCTTAAGGTGGCTGATTCCCAAAGCAGGTTGTACAGTGCTTGAACTTAAGTTTAGACAGTCAGGCCCAAGATTTCATAGAACACTTGAGCAAGGTGAAACTTCAGGACTGCAAGACAGATATTTCTGAGTTGTGCCAAATGTTTGACCATGTAGAAAATCAAGCAATCAATTGAACTATGTTTAAGGCTCGGATGAGGAGTACTAAAGAAAGCTATCATGCCAATGTGAACAGTCTATACTACTTGCACAGTAAGACTTGCCCTGCAATGGCTTTAGTAGACCTTAAGTATATCTTTGTTGACAAGTTTGTGGAAGGGCTACCCAATGAAATGATGAGCCACCATCTGTTTATGAGAGATTTTATCCGTACTAAGGTAGTTTCTGTAACAATGTAGCACAGAATAGTAACTTTGAACTGGTGGGAAGAAAGGAAGCCAACAGCAGTGGCTGTACTTCAAACAGACCATCCTGTCCAGGCACCCACATTAAGCACAGCTCGAGCCCAGCCAATGTTTAACAATTTCTTTGTCTGTAGAAGCAAGGTTATCAGTTTTGATCGATGACTCAGCAGGTGCAGAAGAGTGAAAGACAGATAATGAACAATGCTGCCACAGCTCTGAGAAACTAATGGAACTTAAATCAGGCCTGGCCACTGACATAAGTGAGTGCAATGAACAGCTTGCACTGAAAGGTTTGATTGTCAGTCCAGCTCTCTTAGTGTTGGGTGGGTTTTAATACATACCTGTCAGAGTACTAGGGCAAGTAATTTTGATACTAGTTTAATACGGGATGGACCATAACATTGGTATATCTCGTTGCATATCGGGCACTTTGAGAGAAACCACCAGTCAGAACAAACTTCATTTTGACAAATGGAGAAATGACTCTCAGAGTGTGTTTAGGATATCACTCACATAATAAAGGTAGTCGTCACCCACCTCAATTTTTACAACAGAATGAATCCTTTTAATGGGTGTACAATGGAGCTATCTGTCTATTTTGTCTTTGAAACAGTGAATCTGATGTTGTGTAAGTTTTCCAATGCTGACCAGACCCAAGAATAGAGTAATTGCATGAATGTATGTAAGAAAGGAACTCTGTATTGATTTTAGATGGGTGCATTGAAAGGGTGTGATGGTCCATTACATTAGGCTTGGCATCTTGATTGTGGCAAATCAATCTGAAAGACAAGTGCAGACACAAGACTGCTTTCTGCTTGAGAAATGGTTCATATGAGTTTGCATCATTCCATTCTGCTGTAGAGATAACTTCCACTTTTGAAAGGTTAATGGAGCTTACACTGAAGGGTTTGCAATGGAAGTAGTGCATAATTTATGTCAACAATGTTATGGCATGTGGTCGCAGATTCAACTCTGTGGCTGAGAACCTGAAAGTAATATTGCAGTGAATAAAAAAGGCATTGTAACTGCAACCATGAAAATTTGTGCTTTTATACACAGAAGTGGAATTTCTCAATCATATTTTAGGTAAAGATGGAACTTTCACAGATAGTGCTAAAATGGCAATGGTGTATGAGAGGCCTCACTCAAACCATGATCAAGCAAGAAGCCTGCAGTTTACTAGCTTTCACATCATACTATTGATAGTTTGTGGCCAAGATCATCACATTACTGGCTCTCATTAAAGTTGAGAAGCACTTCAGGTGGAGTGAAGAATTTGAGCAAGCATTCCAGTTCCTTAAGTATGCTTTAATAGTAGACTAGTTAGTGTTGATGTATTAAAAACAGAACAGTGGGATCTTTTTGAATACTGATGTTGGTGGTATTGTTATCACAGTTGCAGGATGGGGTAGAATGAATAATATGCATATGCTTGTCATACACTTATGGCTCCTGAATGCAGACACTGTACAACAAAGAAAAGACTAGAGGTACTATGGTAAAACAGTAAAGGAACAAATGTACCATTGTAGAGACTGGGTATGACTTTATTATGTGCCAGCAGCACAAATGCTGCTCAGCTTCACTTGAATAGGACTTCATCTTGTGCTCTGAGTTGGTCCATTAATGTAAGAGTTACAGCAGTCAAGACACACATGAAAGTGCATAGTACAGGTTGACCTCTTTCATCTGGACAATGCCAATGAACCTCTAGTGAACTGGCTTGACCAGGAATCAGAGGAGAGAAAAGCTAAAGTCACTAATCTGGCTGTTTAGAGTGAGCCAGATGAGGAAGCATTGGATCTTCAAATGAGAGACAGCTCTGACATTTAGTTGAAACACTGTTAACATTCTCCCAATCAATATATTTCTGAGACTGAACTCAACCGTCATGAAGTTATAATGCTGTTGTCAGTTGATGTAATGCCTTTACATCAACATTTTTACAACTGAAGATAACAGGTAAGAATTCAAAAATTCAGCTGAATGGGTGCTGTGCTATCAGGTGATATTTTAAGGTACAATATATGCATTCCATTGTGTGATTGCCACTTGATTATTTACAGTTCAGATAGTTTCATTAATGGTAACATCAGCTGAACTAAACGGATTTTGTGACCCTTACTTTCCAATCTACGAAGCATAGTCTCACTATAAGAGATATCTGTAGGATATTGAATGACTGCTCAGTTAACTTAGTTAAGAACAGCTGATGCCAGTACATAAAAAACCTAGTGCATCAACAGTTTACATAACTGAAAATGTTAGCTTTGAATTTTAAAACTCAGTTGAAAGGATTTTGTGGCCCTTACTTTCTGAGCTATCAAGTGATTTTATAGGTAGTCAGTGGCATGATTAATTATCTGATGATGCCTGAAAAGAAAACATTACTGTACCATGGCTGTCTAAGTGTAGCCTGTGTCATGTAAGCCAAAAAGATCACCAGTCATTTATATGTGAGCCAGAGGCAGTCTGTTTTAAGATATTGGTGTATATGGCAACACGAGTGTATGAATACATACAAGTTTGTGGTCTTACATGCACGTGTGAACTTTACATGAAGACATTCTTGAGTATTGCATAACACGAATTGATCATTTACATAAAGACTATGGCTATAAAGCAACATATAAATGAAACAAAAGGATTTGACCTGGATGTTAACTGTGATTACTGACTTGTATTTTTATTAATACTAGTGAGAGAATGTTTCAATTCATAAACCCACTTACCACTTTTAAAACGAATTACAATTGTCAATGCATGGTGGTCTTTTTGAATGCTGGGTTGTGATCCTGACCAATTTCTGTATAGTTTATTTGGGTTTCATGAGGAATGATCAAAATACATTGTAATTTTTTAAGTTGTAAGAGATAATATAATTTTATTTGATTTTGATCATTGTTATTAGGTTTTTTTTAGTTTTATGATGTTTGCAATTTAACATCATCAAAGGAGTGTATTCTAATTATAATGACAACAATATAGATCCCCCAATGTAAAATATCCAACATTAAAAAAGACCTAATTTTTTTCATATACTACAATGGCCAGCCAACCAGCAGCCACTGGGGCTGAGATTGCTAGATGTATCTCTCAGTGTCTGAAATATGCACCAATCCATAGGGGAAGATGTGGGAGAAAGCCCAAGAACTAACTGAACATCATGTTTTATATGGCAATAAAAAAATTTATTGTATTTGTACTGCTTCAAGTGATATGGGCCGAAATTATTTTGACATTATCATAATGTTGTGATCTGTCATTGCCACAGTGTTTCAATCTGATGTCAGATCATGTTGCAAAATCAACTTTCAACTGACCAAATTCTGATGTCAGGATATGAACATGGCACAACATTTTCACAATGTTGTGTGCCTGCTGGATAATCACGAGTCTCAGACGGATATCAAGTTTCTCCTGTGGCTTATGACCCTTCTTTTTTCTTTGTTGGGGGGAAAGTCATTTGTCTTTCCACCTTTGCCAGTCATTGCTGTGAATGCTCAGAGATTTGCTGATCAATTGGAAAAGGGTGCTATCATGCCTTGTCCTCTCTGTTTATCACATCAGCATGCCTTGGCTTTCCAGTGCTTGGAGAA